CTGCACCACCAGGGAGGGCCAGGAAAACAGAATTTTTTACCCATAGAACAGACCAGAACAGTATCACAGAGTGGACAAAAGAAGGGTCCAGTTCCCCTCAAAATGGAAGGTAGGAGAGCTGGAAGGCAGCAGAGACATGGATTGATATCAGCACTGGAGCAAAGGTCCCCTACCTTTGCCCCACCATCCAACTGCAGTGGAGTTTTTTCTAACCGTGGTGAAAGATCCTGAAGCCAGACACTATACTGAGCAGTGGTTAGTACTGTTTTGATAAGAACTTTCCAATCCCATGCAGTCATTTCATAGCCATTTTCTATAACTTCAATAATTTATTTTGTAAATAATTTTGAATACTATTGTCAGAATATTTTTTCAAAATTCTTTAAAAACAGCAAATGGCAAACTTTTATGTTGGCAACACTGGCCTCCTCAAATAAAATTTCTCTTTCTGATTATCATCCTTCATGGAAATATATTTCTATGAGGGGCTCAAAATTTGGTGGAGATGGAGGAGGAAGTGAAGAAAGAGAACAGAATTGGGGCAGAATGCCCATTTGGATGTAATATCTTTTTATCCTCTTGAATGGGTCTCAGTGCTAATCGGCAGAGATTCTATGTGGCAAGATGAGACACTTACAGGTCCAGCTGATTGCCTTAGCCACTGCCCCATCTTTTTCCAGTCTTCCCAATCTAAACTCTCTACTTTTGAGCATTGAGAACAATGTTGTCTAATGACTAGAAGTCATTTGTCAAGCTAGCTTTTGGTTACTTTGCATCCTCCCACTTTTAAAAGACTCTGTAATTGTAATTTGTGCTGTTTCTCTTCACCTGTAAATGTAAAAGCAAACTCAATTGAACAAGCACAGAGAAAAGAAAAGAGCCTCTAGGTAAAATACCTAACTTGGCCTTCCAGCAGTCTTGCCAGGCTAGTCCTTTGCAGACTTTACCAGGGGGAATGAAATTGGTCTCCTTCCCTTTGAACCCAGTCTCCCAGTCACACTGGGTTCCTTACAGAGAGTGCCAATTTTGTTATGACGTCTGGCTGGCGGAGGGAGGGAAAAGGATTACTCAGAGTCCATGTGCAGAACATACAGTCCCTGACCCTAGGCTTCTCATTGTGCTGCACCTGGATTCTTATCCTACCCCCCCCAACCCCCGGCACCACATGTTGTCATAAGGAAACATTTTTGGATGACTTTGTGCTAAAGCAGAGCTGTTCTCTTCCCCAGACTCCACAGGCAGCCCTTTAAGTCTGCTCCTTTGTGGTGTAGAGGGTGGTTCTCAAGAATGCCAGAATGCCACTTCTGGGGAACAGCCTTGGCCTAAAGCAGGTTCTCCTGAGGGTGGTAATGGCACTATTCTCTGTAGTCAATATCTATCTTTTGGCCTGCAGGACATCTCCTTTATGGTTCAGTAAGAGTAGACACACTTAGAAAAACTGACAAGAGACATCAAGCCACTTCTTAAGGCAACTCAGTTTATTTCTAGCAAGGCAGAAGGAAGGTGGGGTCCCCATGGCCTGACGTTCAAGGCTCAGAATGGGGCAGGTGCTTGGGGGGCAGTGACCACACTCTGGGGGTTGAGTCCCTCATTATCTGTTCCACGGTCACCTGGGGCTTTGGGGCAACTGTCTGGATGGGGTGCTGCTCACTGGGATCAGGGGCACTGCCCTCTTTGCCCTCATGCTGGGGTTCAGCAGAGTTGAGCAGTACATTAGTGGTCGGGTCCCACAAGCTCACACCAGGAGCTAGCTTCATTGATTCTGGCAGCAGCAGGGGCTTCCACATCACCTGAGACGTGGCCTCGAGCATTGGAGGTGCAGGATGAGGCCACCTGTGAGGATTCTGGTCCTCCTGGTGTCCGGAGTCCAGGCCCTGCTGAGGTATGTGGGTGCGGCCTGCCCACAGCTCACCCAGCAACTCAGCCTCCCCCTCCAAGCCACTAGGCCACTCGGCACCTGGCCACAGTTTGGGGCTGGAGCTTCGAACCCTGTCAGAGAGCACTGGGTGTGTGGCAAGAAAGCGGAGCCCGGGGCTGGGGAAGGGGAATTTGGACCCGAAACCTGGTGACGGTAGACCTAAGCTTGAAGTGGACAACTGGCGTTTTGGACCGCGGTCTAAGGTACAGAAAGGAACGCGGGGCGGGACCTGGGAGAAAACTTTGGGGGATGTGCGGGCGCTGGAGACTAGAGTTTGAGGCTCAGCGGGGGTTTCGGCCCTCCCGCTCCGCTGGCGCCCGCGGGAAGCTTCCAGAGCGCGCACCTCGGAATCTGGAACCAGAATCTCAGACAGTGGGCGCACCCAGTGGCGCGGCAGCCGCGCGGGGTCCAGGCGCGCCAAGGCCGCTTTGCGACCCACTCTGTGAAGCCCGCGCCGGGGCTGGTCGGCGCTCGGCGGCCAAGGCTGCGAGAAGGACCCCCCGGGGCTCAGGGCTATGGGGCTGCCCGCAGACGGGCAGGACGCTGACACGCGGGAGGCAACACCCAGCACCTGCTCCTTCTTGGGCTCTTGCAGGTCCTCAGTGGCGTCTGTCCCGGGTGCGCAAAAATACAGGTCCTTGAGTGAGAACTGGGAACTGCGGGGCTGTGCCCTCGTGGCGGAGGTCTGGGGGCTGGCTGGGTGGGACAGGTCCCGAGAAGGCTGGGGACTGCCAGCGGGAGTCGGCTCCGCGGACTGTGGGAGCGTCGCGATCAAAGACGTGTCGGAGGGCTGGAGATCTTTGGCTAGTACGTCCGGTTCTTCTAAAGAACCTCCGGGCTCTGCCTCCTGAAACAGCTCCGGGGTGGGTGGAGGGCCCGGATCGATTGTCAGCTTGGGGAAACTCTCTGATGAGTCTCTACCCATCCACGATCTTGCTAAAGAGAGGTGGTCTACGCTCCCTTGGTCCTGGGGAAATGCAAAGGAGTGAATAGCGAGATGACAGAAAGGAAAAAGGAGCTAAGGTGGAGGCGTCCGGAGAAATCCAGGGGCAAACAGACCGCGGCCCGGCTGGGCAGTGTGGAGGGAGCTGGGGGCAGCTTACTTCGCTTTGGGAAGTCTCCTCCAGTCGCCGCGAGGTCGGTGCGTGCAGCACCGGCACGGATCCTTGGGCCCAGGCGTCGGTCATGCACGCAGAGGGCTCCTCGTCCTCAGCCCACGTAGGGTCCTCGGCCACTGCAAATTCTCCCTCGTCCCGGCTCAAGAAGCGCCACTCGATGATCTGCAGCATGGCCTCCCTAGCCTGGTTGATTGTGAACGGAATGCACTGCAGAGGCGAGAGAAGAGTCTCAGCCCAGCAGAGAGGGTTGGGGAAGAGAGGGAGAGGGGTCTGAAAGATCCGAGTCCAGGCGCACCTGCCGTGTCAGGTAGACTTTAAAGGCAGAGTCCATGACTCGAGTCAACAACTCGTCCAAGATGTCCACCACCACATCTTCGCCCTCCTCAAGAGCCATGAGTGCCATCCACTCCGCCTCGTTGAGTCGCCCAGGCACAATGTCCACCTGCGGCACCGGGACCGTAGGCGGCCTCGCCTTCTCTGCTTTGGATCGGGTCACCCCTCGGTCTCTGGCCTGCCTCTCCTGCCTCTGTGGGAAAGGAATGCAAAGGAAGACTATCTAGGCAGGAAACTGAAATGTAACATAGAGGTAACTACGAGCTTGGAGAAAGCTTTCTCAATTAGTCCAGCAGGAAGGAAAAGTCTTTTGAAAACGACAGTTTTTAAAATAAGATTGATTTATTTATGCATACAAAACTGGGGTACAGGCCAGAGGTGCGGGGGGCAGTGAGAAAATTCACGATAGAGTAGGGAGTAGAACAGTCAGATTGACGAAGTACACTGCTGAGCAGCAGGCGGGTCAGGAGAGGTCTGCTGCTCCATGTGGTCACCTCCGGGGCAGGCAGGGATTGAACTCGAACTGAAGCTGAAACGGCTAGCTTGCCATGCTGCGTCCTAACCCATAAGCCACCAGGGAGGGCCCCGTTGTATTTTTTAAAATATCAACATCCTGACCCTCCCTGGTGGCACAGCGCCTCAGGTTAAAGCACAGCACTAAGAAGATAAAGCCACTTCAATGAGTTCGATCCCTGCCCCAGAGGTGACCACATGGCACATCAGACCTCTTCTGATCTCCTGCTCCCCTCAGCAGTGTACTTCTTTGATCTACCTGTTCTGCTCCCCACTCTGTCTCTGGTGAGTCTTCTCACCACACTTGTGGCCTTGTATCTCTGGCCTGTCTCCCAGTTCTGTATGCATAAATAAATAAATAAATCTTTTTAAAAACTCAGCATCCTATAAAACATATTATCCAACATATTCCCTGGTTAGATATTAAAATTTTTTCTAACAAAAATAACATAGGGCTAACTGAGTGCTAGTTATATGATGACTTATTTATATATATATGTATAAATTCTAGATGGACTGAAGGATAAACGTGCCAATAAAATAAAAATGCAAACCAAAATTACAACTAGGAAATACAGGTTAAACTGTCATGTAATTTCTGGATGAGAAAGCCACTGCCTAAAAATTAATGTAAAAAATAAATAGGTAGATAGGTATGAATATGTAGGCCAAATTTTCCTGTATCTATATTTTAAAAATACTAATTACAAGCTGACATTAGATACCACTTACTTGTATACTTAAAATATATCTAATTTATATAATTAAAAAA